GGAAGACTGTAAATGAAGTGGAATGATTTGGTGACTGGAGTAATGGGGGTAGATGTGTCAGAGACAATGAAATTGGCTTAAAATAGAGCAGGATTCAGAGCTGTTGTACATAGGATTGCTATGAGCCACAGCGACTTGATGGAACATAACAACAACAGCATTATCACACTGCTTTTCAAATCCCCACTGAGTATTTCCTATTTCTTCATGTCCTCATCTTCCCATTAATCTCTAGTGATTTCTCTCCTCCCCTTTTTTCTGTCCCTTCTCCTTTTCCCCTTCCTCTTTTGTGCGTTAAGACACATCTTGCTTGGTTATCTTTCCATTTACAGTAATAATCTTATGCAATGCTTATCCTTATTAATTATTTCACTCAGTATAATAGTCTTTAGCTTCTCCCATGTTATATAGCATTTTCTATATCATTATATATCATTGTTCCTTAGTTCTGCATGATATTCCATTGTGCGAATGTACCACAGTTTCTTAATTCATTCTTTTACTGATGGGCATTTGGGTTTTTCCATTTTCTTGTCATTGTGAATAATGCTGTATGAACCTAAGTAAAATTATGAAAATAATATCATTTATAAAAACCAACCACAAGATTAAAATATTTATGGATAAACCTAAATAGAGACACAAGACTTTTCTAAGGAAAATTACAGAACACTACCACAAGAAATAAAAAGATATCTAATTAAGTGGAAAAATATTCCCTGTTCATGTTGCTGTTGTTGTTACTGGCTGTACTGTCAAGTCAGATCTGACTGATGTATGACCCTCCAGCAGGTGTTCAGAGGTTGTATATTTGACAGGAGGAGATTACCCATCCCTTTCCTGAAGCGCATCTGGTGAATCCAAAGTTGGCAGTGCAATTCATTACTACTAAGCCACCAGAGTTCATGGATAGGAAGACTTAACATTGTTGAAACGGTAATCCTATCAAAAGCAATCTACGTATTCAATACAATCCCAATACAGACACTAAATTAATTCTTCAAAGAGACAGAAAAGACAATTTGCTTTTTTATTTGGAAAAAGACTCTGAATAAGCAAAGTTGTTTTGTAAAGCAAAAATGAAGTGGGAAGCATAGCCCTTCATTACCTCAAAACAGCATTATATTGGTACAAAAACAGATACATATACCAATAGACTAGAATTGAGAACCTAGAATCAACATATCTATCTATGGTAAATTGTTATTTCACAAGGAAACATAGAAATTCCGCATGACCCAGCTATTTCACTGCTAAGGATATGCATCAAAGAAGTCAGAACTGAGACACAAGCAGAGATATGTACACCTATGTGCACAGGGGCATTATTCACTATGTTCCATATATTCTGATACTGATTTCTTATTTAGCGTTTTTAAAGAACAAATATCACTTACTATTTGAACTTCCTAGAATTTACTGAGACATGTTTTATGACCTTCATTGGTTAGTGTTCTTGTGCTCTATGAAAGGAATATATATTCTGCTCTTTCTGGTTTGAGAGTGCTATAAATGTTAATTTTAGTATCTACATTTGCTTAATAGAATTGTTCACTATCTTCTATATCATTAATACTTTTCTACTAAGTCAACTTGATCTGTAGATTATTAAAAGAGGTAAACTGAAATCCTGACTATTACTCTAAATTCACCTGTTTCTCCTTAAAGCTTAATAAGGTTGTTGGGTTTTTTTATCCAGGTATTTCAAACCGTTCATGTTAGCTACATAAAGATGTTGAAATATTATAGCCTCTGGATAAGGTCATTTGGTAGCCTGTCCTCTAATATCATCATTCGTACGCTTTAGATCATCATTACCCTTTGCTGTGCTTACTAATCTCATTATCTGCTTTTCCTTCATCTAAATTGCTTTTCTTTCTGGTATTTGAGCTAATTTTTTGACAAAAACCAGATATACTCATACACTTAATTGCCTACAGAATAAAATCTAGGTTCTGTAAAATTATAGTCATGGCCCTTTCCAATTTACTCCATTAGCATTAAATAGTAATATAAATTAACAGTATGTCTAGTAGTTTGAAAATCCAGACTTCACCACTTGGGAATGGTGGGACTATAGTTTAAGTTGATTAATCTACCTATTCTTTGGTTTACCTAACTCTGAAAAAATTGATTTAATAAGATTAACTAATCTGCATTAAATTCTTAGAGCAGTACTTAAACTCATTGTCATGGAACAGGTTCTGAATCATAGCTTACCTCCATCAGGTTTCCAAGGCTATGAACATTAATGGGAAGACCTTGCCCATCTTTCTTCTGAGTTCTAATCTGCTAGTGGATTTGAACCATCAAACATGCATGACTTTTAGATTACAAATTAAACTTACTACAGATCAAAATTCCATAGAACAGTGTCTAGTACACTGTAAACAACAACAAATGATGGCTTTAGCTTTTATTATTTTCTTTTACATTCTTGCCATATCTGACAATGATTATTATAGGTCCCTGCCTCTTTTTGTTCATTGTGCATTCCTCATTTGCATTGTAGATGATTTCCTTATTATGTTAGAGATTCTAGGTTCTTTTTTTTTTTCTTTTAAAAGGCATATGTCTTGGAAAAAGCACAAGCAGAGTGTTCTCTGGGAATGGCCTTCATCTCCCATACTTTGGGCAAGTTGCTAGAGGAGGCTCTTCCTTGTACATGCTTGGAAAGGTGGAAGGTAAGCAAGTGAGGGGAAGACCCTCAGCAAAATGGGTTGACACCTTGATTGTAGCAATGGGCTCAAGTGTGTCAGGGATGATAAGGATGGCAAAGGATAAGAGAAGGTTCAGAATTGTTGCTCATAGGGTCACTAGACTTGATAACAACAATAGCATGACACAGTGATTTCAACAATAGGTTTAAGTGTGTTAGAGATGATAACAAAGGGCTCAGATATTGTTCATAGTGTTATGTTCTATATTGTTGTGTGAGTCACACTTGACTCTGGAACCTAACTAACAACAACGACAACAATATCTTGCTGAGGGTTTGCAAACCAGTACTTGTCTACCTTCATGGGTTGTGGTTCCAATGGGGGGCAGGTGTGGTGGTAAAAAACTCTTTTCCTTCTCATATTGTGATTTGAGTGAAGGTTTGCAAACTGCTTTTTCATTCAACTATTCATACATTGTGTGTGATGTGGTGTTGGGAAAGAGTCTTTAACATACCATGGACTGCCAAGAAAACAAATAGGTCTGTCTTGGAAAGGGTGAAACCAAGTTTTTCCATGGAGGCTAGAATTTTGAAGCTCTGTCTCACATATTCTGGGCCAGAAGGCACTAGTCCGTGTTCTAAAGGGTGGAGGGATGGGAAACGAGAGGAAGATACCAGATGAGACAGATTGATGCAGTAACTAGGCAATGAAAGTTGGTGTGTCATAATCAGTGAGACTGGCTCAGGACAAAGCAGGCTTCAGAGCTGCTTTACATAGAGTCACTATGTATTGCAAATGACTTGACAGCACATAACAACACCACCTTCATATGTTTTGTTCAGTAACTTTGATTTCAATATTAACAATGAAATTTCCATACCCACTTTTCTCCCTGTAATTCTGATTTCTGTTAATCTTTCCATACCTCTTTGTGTCTATTTTGTTAGTTAGCATGCTGATCAACCCTTAATTGGATATTGCTTTTCCTTTTATTCATCTTGATAGAATAATGATGTCAGTCTAGAGGCTAAGGTGCGCCTCATCCAGTCCATGTTCTTTGAAATTATTTATTACAAATCAAAGAGTTTGACAGTGACTAAGGGTGAATCAATGTCTTTGAGTTGTGGTGCTGAAGAAGAGTATTGAACTTATACCATGGACTGCTAGGAGAACAAACAGCTCTGTCCTAGACAGGGTGAAACCAAGTTGCTCCTTGGAGCCAAGGATTTTGAAGCTCCATTTGATATACTTTGGGCACATGACCAGGAGGGACCAGTGTTTGGAGAAGGACATCATGCTTGGAAAGGTGGAGGAACAGCACAGGAGAGAGAGAGAGACCCTGAAAGAGATGGATTGACACAGTAACTGAGGTAAGGGGGGGTAGGTATTTCAGAGGCAATGAGATTGGTTCAGGATAGGGCAGGGTTCAAAGCTATTGTGCATAGGATTTCTATGAGTTGCTGTTGACTCAATGGCATATAACAATAACATTATCTATTCAATAATTTATTTGTTTTAATTTCTCACACCTACCCTTTCCATCCCTGGTAACTAGCCATAAATCATTCTTTGGGTAAGCCTTTAATTAGCTTTCTACATAACATGAATTTTAAGCAATATTTGTCCTTTTTTTTTTTTTTACTGACTCATTTCACTTGGAATGATTTCCTCTAGATGCTTCCATGTTATGCAGAATTTTATGGCTCGAGTGTACCCGAGTCCTCAAATTGACATCATAACTCCTCAATAATTTGGAAAGGTTCCTAACTGCAGATATTTTCAGTACAATACATCCCCTGATCTCTTGACACCAAGTATATTGATTGTGAGTCCAAATATTGTGGATACAAAGGCTATAAATACAAAAATATGGCTGTGGATTATACTCTTTGTCGCTAAAGGTTTAATATGGAAAGGATATTTAATTGTTTTAATAATAAACTTAATTACTTTCAAAATAGATATTTTACACATTCTAAATTGTAATGATAATAAAGAAGAAATTTTTAAAGGTTACAGTTTTTATTCATTTTCCATTCTTAGTCCAAGTGTTGGATTATACTATATTTACCTGTTGCAAAGCTACTTCCAATAATTACCATTACTCCTTCCTAAAGTAGCGTATTCAGAACCCACTAGGCTCTGGTTATCAGCTCAGTATAGATATGTGTAAGGCTGAGGAGTAAGTCATTGTTTTATTTCTTTATGGATGGTTCCCTTTATTTCAATAGATTTTCCTCCCCATTAGGCGTATCTTCAGGGATAGGTTCGAATCCTGAATACTCAAGTCCAGATCAGGAGTGTCTTCATTTTTGGACATCTCTTCTGGAACAAGTGAGTCTAATTTTCCACTGGAGCCTCTGTTTCCTTGGGAGGTAACAATTCAGCTGATACTTTCTCTACTGGAGTCTGTTCATCTGAAATATCTTTAATAGAGTGCTCCTCAACTAGTGCTTCATCATGAATGTCCTTTATTGAAGCTTCTTTTTCAACTGCTAGAGACTGAAGTTGAGAAAGGGTCTCTTCTGCAGGTGGATCCACAGCTGGTGGAGGTGAAACTTCAGCAGACATCTCTTCTACAATGCTGTCTTCAGCTACTGGAGACTGACCTTCGGTAGAGAACTCTTCTGCAGGGGCATATAATTCCTCATAGGCCTCATATTTTTTAGGGTCCTCCTGAACTAATGGAGACTGCACTTCATGATAGGTCACTTCTACAGAAGCCTTCTCAGCTAAAGGGGGTTGAACCTCATTAGGGGCCTCCTCTTTATGTTCCTCCTCAACTCGTGGATGCAAAAGTTCATCAGAAATCTCTTCTTCAAAATATTCTTCAATTTGTGGTTGCTGAACTGTAGCAAAGGCTTCCTCACCTGATGTAGGTTGAGGCTCATCAGAGAGCTCTTCTATAGGTACTTCTTTAACTGGTGGAGGATGAAGTTCAGCAGAGACCTCCTCTACAGGGACCTCAGATGGTGGAGACTGAACTTCAGGAGAAAACTCTTCTTCAGTGGCCTGCTCAACAGTTGGAGACTGATACACTTCAAGTGTCTCTTCTATAAAAGCATCTTCACCTAATGGAGACTGTGTGTCCACTGGAACGTCTTCCATTGCAATAACTTCTGCTTTTGTAAAGTCCTCCTCTGCCTGTCTCTCTTCTGGTGCTGGAGGCAGAACTTCTGGAACGGGCTCTTCCACAAGACCCTCCTCCTCTAGTGGAGACTGAACTTCAGAAGGAAGCTCTTCTCCATGGGCCTCTTCAGATAATATATATTGATCTTCTGGGATTTTTTCTGTGGGCCCCTCTTCGGCTGGTGTGAGCTGGAGCTCAGTAGGGATGCCTTCTGAAGGAGACTCTTCCGTTAGTAGACCCTGCTCTTGAACAGGTGCCTCTTCTACAGGAGTCTTTTCAGTTGATGGAGGTTGCTCTTCAACAAGGGCCTCTTCACCTGGTGAAGACTGAAGCTCAACTAATTCACCAGCAAACTCTTCTTCAGAAATCTCTCCAATTTCAGGAAAGAGTACTTCTTGAGGGACTTCTTCAGCAAAAGGAATCTCTTCTCTAAGAGGAATTTCTTCAACTGAGGCCGACTTTATCTTAGCAGGTAAAGCATCTGTCAGAATTTCCTCATCTTTTGGAGACTGAAGTCTTGTTGAGGCTTCTTCAGAAAGGATACGATCTACTTCAGTAGCTGCTTCTTCTGCAGTCATCTCTTCCACTAGTTCGGGCTCTACTTCCACAGCATCTTCATCAACTGTGGGCGGAAATTCTACGAAAGCATCTACCAAAATCTCAGATAACAGAGGTTCTTCTTCAACAGGGACTTCATCCCTAGGTACAGCCTCTCGTTCAACAACGTTCTCCTTACTTAGTGGTAGATAGATTTCAGAAGGATTTTCTTCTGCAGCAATAAACTGTGTATCATCTCTGCTTTTTTCTGTTGACAGTGACCTTATGTCAGTAGATGACTCTTTTCTAAGAAAAGGACCCTCTCCCACAACATCCAGAGTTACCTCACTCTTGGAGATAATATCTAAAGTGAGTACTGGAATATGATCTTGAGTTGGCTGGCTGACTGAAGGATTGCTGAATCTTTTCTGCTTAATTCTGTCTTTGCCACTTGTTGCAGGTTGAAATTCCAGATGTTCACTGACAAAAGTCTTCCCTAAAGATTTATGTTTCTTGAGATCTTCCTTTGACACTGTAAAAAAACTACCAGGATAGCTATATGCCTCCATTTCTAATTCACTAAAATTTGTCTGTTGTCCCTTGTCCACCTTTTCTACTTGAGGAATGTTTACCATGTTCCAGTCTCCAGTACAACTTGTCTGCTGTGATCTGTCTATTTTCATCTGAGTTGAGGGTTTGTTCAGTGGTTTTTCTATATCCTGAACTCTTGCTGGAAATTCAGGTGCCATTTCTCCAACATTAGCTGACTTTCCTTCTGGCCCCAGTGTCTCACCAGTTTTCTTGATTTCTTTTTTTTCAACTATGATGGTGTCTGTCTGAAAAGATTTATCAGTCATTTCCTTATCACGTTTTCTTTTTGTCCAACTTTTCTGGAGTTGAGAAGATACTCTAATAGACTCATATCCTTTGGTAGAGTAGCTGACTTTGCTTTCAGGAATATCACCAATGCTTTGGGTAGCTTTAGGGCCAGATGGCTGCGACATGGCCTTGTATTTCTTTTTCTCAGTCACTTCAGTCTGCTGAGATTTGTCTACCATTGGTTGGCTAGGTTGTCTTCTTTTTCTAATTTCTTGTCTCCCTGCTGAGATGGACTGACCAGGCTCATCATTTTCTTCCATGTTTAAGAATTATGAATTTCAATTTTCCTAATCTTCAAGTAATTAATTATCAAGAATTATTGAGGTACCCGGTGTTTAAGACTTTGCATTCTTTCATTAAAAGTTCTGTTGAGCTCTCATGCAGGGGAATAATAATACTTAGGTTATTTCATCCTGTGCTACACTCTTGTTGGATCCCACTTACTCTGTATGTATCTTTCTTGTCTCTGTGATGAGGTACTTCTAGAAGTTTCTAACAAGGGTCTGTGACATCACTACCACCTCACCTCAACCTTCAGGGTTCCATCTACAGTGATTCCAGCCCAGGTTACCTTAGCATGTGTTTATAGAGATAAGCTTTTTGAAACAAAGTGGGTTTAAACAGCATTTGTCTACCAAGACACATTATGGAAATTTCAGTAATACCACTTTTCTAATTGTTGAAGTTCATATTTTTTTTCACTTTTAATTTTATTGTTTTAGTATAAAATATAGTGATATGCAGGACTCAGAATGCTGTAACCTGCTTTCAATTGTTATATAAAGAATTGAAGCCTTTTGTGTGTATATGTCTATATGATTGGGGGAGGAAGCTTGAAAAATTTAATTCTGAATGGATCTGTATAGAAGTTTCTTTCCTATGTTCCTAAATTTCAAGAACCACAAGTGACATTCCAAAGCCAAAAAAGAATAGGTACCATGTTTTCCTTCTTAAACTAAGGAGTATGATTGGGGTGGGGATTTTTTCAGCTTCATAATACAGCTATACCTAAAGTTTGGACTCAACTGTGCAGAGACTAAAAATATGCCAGATGAAATAAATGTATCCTTAGAAAGAGTCACTTTATATTCTGCCAAATAATTAAATTAGAATAAGACAAAACTTTAAAGTATCAAAATAGAGAAAGCCCAGGTAAATAAATTGTAAATGATATTATATTAATGTCATCTTAGACGACAGATAAAATCTTAAGTTCTACATCATGCATAATTTTACTTGAAGTGTGAATATTGGTCAAAAGATGTACAGAAACATTTCCCTTTAGCCTAAGAAAGAATAGAGATAGATAGGTAGATAGATAGATAGATAGATAGATAGATAGATAGATAGATAGATACAGATCATCAAATTAAGTTGAGCAACTCGTAGTGACGCTATGAACAACAGATCTGAATCCTGTTCTATCCTATGCCATCCTCATAATCTCTGATATCCTTGAGCCTATTGCTACAAACACTGTGTCAATCCATCTGGTTGAGGGTCTTTCTATCTTTGGCCAGCACTCCACCTTTCCAAGCATAATGTCACTTTTCAAGAAACAGTCTCTCCTAACAACAAACCCAAAGTTTGTCATAAAGCTTTGTCATCTTTGCCTCCAAGTATCATTCTAGCTGCACTTTCTCTAAGATACATCATTTGTTCTTTTGGAAGCCCAAGGGGAATATTCACTACTCTCTCAAACTACAGCTCACAGGCATCAATTCTTCTGTCCTCCTATTCATTGTCCAGCTCTCAGATTGAAATCACCATGATGATTGAAAATACAATGACCTGAATCTGGTGCACTTTAGTCTTCAAACTGATGTCATTGCTCCCTAGTAATTTGTAGAGATCCTGACAGCAGACTTTATCAATGCAAGATATTTTTGATTTCTTGACTGTTAGTACTAAAGGTGTTGAGTATGGAGCCAAGTAAGATGAAATCATTGACAACTTCAATCTTTCCTCCTTCTATCATGATGTTGTTTATATATGAGTCCAGTGGTGAAGAATTTTGTTTCCTTGATGTTGAGATATAACCCATATTGAAGGCTATATTTTGGATTTCTGCAGCAAATGTTCAAGTCCTCTTTCAAGGGACCTCTGGTGGCTTAGCACTAAGGAATTGGTCTGACAACCCAAAGGCATACGGTTCCAATCCATCAACTGCTCTGTGGGGAAAAAATGGACAATCTTCTCCAGTATAATAAACTACCACTGAAAACGTGGAGGTTTTCAGAAAATCTGGAGGGTCAGTTACTAGTTGGTTAAGATTCAGTGTTACACAATAACCACAACAATGTGATATATTCAGGTGAACTCTGGTGACCTAGTGCTAATAAATTGCACTCCTAACCCAAAGGCAAGTAGTTTTTATTCACCAGCTGTTCTGTGGGATAAAGATGATGATCTTCTCTGATGCAGTTAGAAGCCTCTGAAAACCTTCTGGATTGTCAGTTATGAGCCATTTTCAACTTGACAGCACATAAGAACAGTTCATAAGATAATAAAAATATACGAAGCATTTAGGAATCCTAGGGGCACAATGGTCAACCTACTCAGTGTCTCCATGGAAGAAAGACTTGGTAATTTGCTCCTGTAAATATTACAGCCTAGAAATCACTACAGGGAAATTGTTGTTCTTGTAGTTGTTGTTGTTGTTGCTGTTGTTGTTGTTGTGGTGGTGGTGGTGGTGGTAGTGTATCGTCAAGTCAGAACCGACCCATACCTGACCCTCCAGTGGGTTTTCAGAGGCAGTTAATCACATGGGAGGAGATTGCCTGTCCTTCTTCCACAGAGCAGCTGGGAAGAAACATGTGCCTTTGGGATTGCAGTGCAGCTTCTTGCCATGAGGCCACTAGAGTTCCCTTACAGGGCAGTTGTTGTTATGTACCATCAAGTAGACTGTGACGCATAGCAACCCTATATACAATACCTCTAAACCCTGCTCTATCCCATGCCAATCGTATTGTCTCTGACACACCTATAACCATTACACCAGTGACTGAATCAATCCATCGCATTGGATGTCTTTCTCTCCTGTGCTGTCCCTCCATCCTCCCAAGCATGGTGTCCCACTCCTGCCTTGCAGCATTTCCAAAGTGTGTCAGATGAAGCTTCAGAATCCCAGTACTCTACTCCAACTTGACAACTCGAAGGCATCAATTCTTCTCTATCATTATTAGTCATTGTCCAACTTTCTAATGCATAACAATTAATTAAAAAGACCATGGCCTAGTGGTAATGAGTTGCACTACCAACCCAAAGGCTTGCAGTTCAAGTCTACCAGTTGCTCCACAAAAGAAAAATGGGAAATCTCCTCCCATGTGATTTACAGCCTTTGAAATTTTACTAGAGAGTCATTTATGGGTCAGTTCTCACTCAACAACACATAACAACAATAACAACATGGCTTAAATCATATATATATTAGTCTATAAACTAATATCCTTTGCTCCTTAATGCCTTAGAGTCTTTGATAGCAGACTTACCAAATACAATATGTGCTTTAGTTTCTTGACTGCTGGTGTCACAAGTGTTGATCGTGGATCCAAGCAAAATGAAATCATTGACAGCTTCAGTCTTCTCTCTATCTGTCATGATTTTGCCTATTGGTCCAGTGGTGAGGATTTTTGTCTTCCTGAGATGTAATCCTTGAAATGTAATCAATATTGAAGGGAAAATGCTTATGCTGATTATTTTAAAACATCCATGACATTTCCATATGTTCTCTTCTGAATTTTCAAATTTTAAATTACTTTTATATGTCTTCCATTTATTTCTAGATCTTTATTTTTTTTTCCTACCCAACCCCACTATGCAATTTATAATCTTAGAAATCCCACCAGAGAGATTGCTATGAATCAGCTCCAAATTCCCAGCAATGAGTTTGAGTCTGGAGGGTTTTTTTTAATTGGTATTTCCTATCTACACTGTATGCTAGATTGTTATGTTGTTATCTACCATTGAGTGGGAACCAACTCACAGCTGACCCTCCAGAGAGTTTTCAGAGACAGTAAATTGTATGGGAGGAGATTCCCCATCTTTCTCTGACGCAGCAGTTGGTAAATTTGAATCATGTGACTTGGGTTGACAGTCCAATTCCTTACCAGTAGGCCACCAGAGCTACCTGGTGTCTAGTGTAGGTTGTCTGAACCAAACAAGCTACAAGCCAGGAGTTTGACCTAAATGAACTGCAATAATGAGTGACCTTGATGAGTGTCCTTGATATTTAATTTTGGCTGGACTCCCCCTGTAGGGTGTACCTTCTAGATTTATGGGGGAGAGTGAGACCTCTCTCTTTTCTTCCTTGAAGACCTACTGTGTACAGCTAGATGAGTCCCTCATCCAAAGATCTGTTACCATCAGAGAATCTTGCACACAGTCCAAGCACATGAGGACACTCTTTATTTGATGCCTTTGTTCTAATCCCTTTCATTCTTGAGATAGTAGTGTTACCAGGCCCAGGGTAATACACTATACTATGTAATTTCTCCATACTCTACATAGATTCTTAAAATTTATTCCTTAAGTTATCCAGTTAGTGCATTTTCCTGCTAGGATAAAGGAATTGTTCATGTATCACATAGACTGAGGAATATGAAGATACTATTATATCCTAAATTTTGAAATGATCATGTATAATGTGGTTTAAATTATAACTCCTAGATAAGATTGCATGCTTACCAAAATGTTCCTTTTTTTAGTAATTCATATAAATTATGCTCTTTACATCAGATTATACCTGAGTTTATTTAGAAAGATAAATTGAGAAAGAAATTTAAACTAATCGTTAATCCATGCACATGATAAAATAAAATTAAGTATTTTCATGTTAAAATTACCTCTTAATAAATAGGATACAATATAAGGCATTAAAGGTAGGCATTTTAGTGGGAACCAAACCTTACTATTTACTCTAGTTCCACTACAAAGTCTTACGTATTCTTCTTTAGTAAATACAAAATTAAATACAGGAGAAGATCATAGTAATTTCATTTGAGACATAGCCCCATGCTATTTGGAAGTCAGAGTTAGTCTACTTGACAAAAGATAACAACAAACTAGACTCACTACCATCAAGTCAGAATAAATTCATAGCTGACCATCCAGTGGACTTACCATCCAGTGGACTTTCCGGTTGTTGTTGTTTTTACATGCCATTGAGTCACATGAGTCTCACAGTGACCCTGTGTAAGACAGGTCTGAATGCTAACACAGCTAATTTCATCACCCCAGGCACTGAGTCAATCCATCTCAT